ACAGTGGAAGCCCTCTGTTGATACTTCTGGTGGAAGTCGATGAGGAAGGATACCCACAAGTTCTGCAGGTCTTGTGGAACTTGTCAAACAACAAAGAAAAGCACCAGGAGAAATCCCGGACTGCTTCACCCACTCCCAACCCCGGAGACACCATGGTCGTCAATAGCCATGGACTTCACAGGTCCATTCCCAACAAGCTTGGGATATGATTACCTCTGGGTAATCATTTGCAGGTTGACGTTGCAAGAGAGCTAGCGGCTCTCAGCACCAACCAAGCTCGTGGGGGAAACTCTCCACTAAAACCCTTTTCTCCACTGGCCTTGGTCCAAAAACTCCTGGAAATTCTCCGGAAATTCTGCAAGGTCCGGGCTCAGTATCCACTACCCACTCTTTGTGGGCTAGACAACTGCCCTTACTCCTACTGTAGGAATTCCACACACACACACACTAACTCTGACGCGTCCTAGCGCCTTAGAGAAAATTAGGGAGGGGAGAACTTAATTTTCAATCCCGGTATGTACAGGATTATAAAGAATAAACATTTTTAGAAATGATTGATGGGAAATATTGGCGCCATATGGCTCCTGGACCCCATCGTAAGCGAAATATTTGAAAAGGGCATCAAAGGAATAAAAGAATATCATCCAATATATCAAAATGATGGTAAAAATGTGAAAATATGAAGAAAATCGAGAATTTATCAATGATTTCACCAAATTAGTACCCGAAACTGGAAATGTGGTTGGGAATAACCTTTACGCGGCTAAAGAACATTTTTCCCAATTTATTTGATGCCTTGGGAATGTGTGAAGCATGCTTTTCTGACTTCCCGCTTGCCTAAATTGAACTTCCCACGCCCGCACATGACCAGATCCCGTGACCCGCGCCGTGGCCAACCTCCCCAACACTTAACTCCACCAAATCTCCACCGATTGGGATGATCTTGACATCGACGGATTCGTAGGAATTAGGAGTATTTTTAGGTACCAAGTTTGTATCGAATTATAGAACGAATGAAGATGATTTTTGAATGGTGTAAATGGATATCCGAGCCGGCTCTGCGTGTGGGCGATTATCCCACCTACAACGTCCAACGTCCACCTAATTCCAATAAAAACAACAACAAACACATTAGAACTAGTGTTCGTATTTCTTTGTGAAGTTGTAAGACTCCACAGTCTACCACACTCAAAATTCATGTCAAAATTTTGGTGCAAACTACACTGAATACTCGGTGTGCAGTTGAAATTCACAACTGCATTCCACCCGCAAGGTGACAGCCAAGCAGAAAGAATGATACAAAAAGTAGTACAAATACTACATGCGATGGTTAGACCAGATCAACGCAACTGGGCAGCGAAACTGTCGATGGCAGAATTCGTGATCAATGCAAGCTCGAACACATCGACAGGATTTGCCCCATTCGAATTAATCTATGGCCATATACCAAAGATGTGCCTAACAACACCACCCTCGGACTACCCGGGAGTAAATGACTTTGCCCAAAAGGCAAAGGAAAACCTCATGGCAGCACACAATGCGATAATACACAATTGCGCCACTCAAACAATCCAGGTGAATAAGAAAAGACACCCAGACCCACCTTTGAGAAAAGGTGAGCTTGCATACTTATCCATGGATAAGCTGAACCTACCCAAAGGGAGGGCAGGAAAACTAAAGCCCTTATACATAGGGCCTTACGAAATTCTGGAAACATTTCCAGAGACGTCAAACTATGTCCTCGAGTTGCCACCACAACTTGAACAACATGGAATCCACCCAAGATTCCATGTATCCTGGCTCATACCTCACGAGCTGAATGACCAAGAAATCTTCCCAAATAGGGAAGTAAACATATTCTACGATTTTGGGGAAGACCCCAGTCGCAAAGCAGTAGTTCGCGAAATCTTAAACCACGTGTGGGTTCACAATGAACTCTGGTTTAAGGTTAAATGGGAGCTAGGGGACACCACATGGGAACCCCTAGGAACTTGCAACAACCTCATCCACCTGGACAAGTACCTCACATCACAAAATGTGAGGGAACCAGAAAACCTCCCTATCAAAGAAGACAGGGAACTCTCGGCATCACTACGCCCCCAAAAACGGAGGCGGAGGAAGTAAAGCTGAGGGATGATGGCCCACAGCCAAGAGCATGGGAAAGTTCTGGGCAAGCAACTCGCCCAGACAGCCACACCATGTACTAGAGATCACATGGGCCAGGCGAGTAACTTGCCTAGACCACGTGAACCACAGGCTCACGTGTAAAAGCACACACAACTGCGGTGAATCCCACGCATGCAAGAACGAAAACCCCTCCCACCACCATGAGAAACATAACAATGAAATGTCATTCTCTGGGGGAGGCAACCCTCGGTTCAATCCAAACAAGCCACTGGACATTGAGATACGACAACCCAGGGAGCAAGTGCCACGAACCAACAACCATCCGCATTGCAAACAGGCACCACATACCCCCAGCCTCCTCAGAGGGGCTTCCAACCATACACGGTGCAAACTGCACTAATGGTGCAACAAGCACCATTCCAGGGGCAACATTTGCTGCTGCAGCCCCAGGTATACTCCCCAGGGAACTTCCCAGGCCAGATCAACCCATGGATCGGCCAATTTGGCCCAGGTCCAACAACACCCCAGCCAAATGCAGGCTGGGAATCAGCTATCGCATCAGTGGTAGCTGCTCAGACAGGTCAGCTCCATGAGGAGCTGAAAGAGATGAAGTCCCTCGTAGGAGGGAGACGAGGGAGCGACAGCAGCTCCTCATCCAGACTGTCCAAACAGGCACGGCGACAATTGCACCCAGGCCGCTGAGTACCTCAGCACCCTATGGGCAAGCTACCCTGCAGGGAAGTGTCCACATGTTATATGAGACCACCAAACTCAACGAGTTTGGCAAAGTCGAAGCTCCAGTCGATGTAACAATTGACCCCAACTTCCCCATGAGGAGAATAGTGGGGTCAGAAGTGGTGCATGACACCGCATACACTTGGTGGACAAGCGTGAGTGGGAGAGAATTCATACATTGGTACGAACAGGCCAAAGCCGCCTTCAAAAGCAGCAAGGTACACAGAATCCTTTGCAAAAAAGCGAAGGAAACCGAGAAATACTTCTTGGGACTCCTGAGTATTGCAAGACTCATGGAGGAGTATAATTCCCTGGAGAACAAGGGAGAAAATCTCCTGGGAAAGTCTAGGCAAAGCTGCCTATATAAAGTCCCAGTTCAAACCACTCAGGACTCCTGAGGAATGTGCTGCAAGAACTGCAGAGCAGGAAGCAAAAGCTTCCAAATACCGGGAAAGAGACGCAAGTCTCCATGCTGGACAACCAGGCTAACGACCACCCTTCCCCACAGGAAGAACGGTAGACCTACCGTACTCCACACCTGAGCCAAGTAGCTCAGGAACACAACAACCTGCTCCCACCCAGGGAGTGCCCACTATGTCGAGCCCACAGCTCAACAATGTAGCCCAGGCTATGTCATCACATCTGACACAGCAATCAGATGTCCAGATGAACAACCCAGAGGAAAACCCTCCTCCAGGGCAATAACTCCACCCTTGAGGAAAGGGAAAGTGACATGGTAATACGCCATCAAGGCACCCGTGAAAACACCTTCCCCCAACTCGAGGCCCTGCACACAATATTGTATGCAAGGAACTGCAAGTAACAATTGCGGAAATCTCTACTTTGTCAAAAGATCCACATCCACCACCGCTCGTGTGTAAACACCACTTACACATGAACCCTCATGGAACAAGTGAGGAACACCAAAGACATACAACCTTTGGGTCGAAATTCATTTTTGACAAACTCCATTACTCTCCTCTCTGTGATACCCATGTATTGCTGTTCACTTCAAAGTGACGGCCCACACTCATTTCTCTCTCCTTCACCGACATGTACAAATCGCCCACTTTAAAGTGGCGATACCATACACTCATTGATAATTTCAAACTCAATGTAAATCAATTCTTAAACTTTATTTTCTTCACCATTAACTTTGTATGCATTGCAAATGCAACGCAAGGGGGGAGAATGTCAGGGCAATAGCCCTGAACCCCAAGCCACATGTAATTAGATACATATAGTCACATGGGTAAGCAGGAACCTCCAGGTAACTGCTTACACACTACCGTAAAATACACACTCTTGTATCACTTACAGCTCTGTGTGCTGAGCTACCCTGAGACCTCACATTGAGAGTGTGATCCAGGTTCAACAGCATGCATGCAGGGTGATCGTCTGCATCGACAGAGCAAGTGGGTTCATGGTTGAAACTCTCGGACATCGCTTCATGGGAGCTTTTGTCATTGGAGTGGGAATCCAAGTCATAGATTGCTTTGCAACAAGTCTGCATTGGAAATATCATGGGCTTTGCAGGAGCTCTCTTCATGAAAGTATGCAAACAAGTGAAAACTGTTTGGCAAGGGCTCTCATCATCAAGGGGCTTATGACTAACTTGGCCTCTATGCTGGCTCCACTGCTTTGGAACTTGAGATCAACAGCTGCTACTGTGGGATGGGCTTGTGTGAGGTCTCAGTGGGTAGCTCAGCACACAGAGCCGTAAGTGATACAAAGATGTGTATTTTACAGTGTGTGTAAGCAGTTAACTGGAAGTTACCGCTTACCCATGTGACTATATGTATCTTGTAATTACATATGGCTCGGGGTTCGGGGTTATTGCCCTGACAGCTTGTGTACAGCGTAACAGCATGTTTTAGGAGGTATGAACACAATTAATAGATGGCTGCATGTAATACATTTCTGCTAGGAAGAATGAATGGGAGGGTGGGAAAGTAAAATTCCCACGAATTCCTGACTCGAAGGTGACCTTGCAAGCAAGGTAACATAGTTTTCTCTCACAACAAAATGAATATCAAACACATAAACAACTGAGTACAAGAAGTGAGTAGGAAAGGGGGAAAGTTTGAAAAGGCAGGTCCTGCAGAATGTATGTCTACTTCAATTTCAATGAGATGAAGTCACCAACCGACTACCCGCAAAATTGGAGTGTCCCTAGGTGCCTTCACAACTAGTGGAAGAGCATGGTCTATCATGTCACTGGTTAGGGCGGCAGGCTCTTCATCATGTTGACCTAACCTGGTGGCTATCAACCCCGCAACCCCTGCAGCTGCCCCATCAGTACTGCTCAGCTCCATTGAATCGGTATTGCTATCGCTCCAGGCACTTTTAACCCTGACACCCAGGTAGGAAGCAGTGATGGCAGGTCCCCAGTTGGAGAAGGTCGCGAAATTGCAAAGGTTGTCAATGGCACCAATGGTGTTAACTCCAGCAAGATGTTGAGGACTGAGAGATTCTGCATTCACGCCCCGATCCCCCGCACCTATTACAATGTGCAACCCATGGTCTATGAGAGACTGGATGACTTGGTCCAAGTAATTGTCCCCAACCATGTTGGGGGGTAGTAAAATGATGGAAGGGTGACCATAACGGAATTTTCTTTGATAAGCCCAGCTGAGGGCTGCGACCAGGTTGGATGCATATCCCATACCATAATTGTCACAAACCTTGAGCGAAATAACCTTGGCACCAGTCGCTGGGCCATACCCTAGCCCCGCTGCCAGTGCGGCAACATATGTGTCGCGACCGCTATAACCGTCCTCATATGGACCAAAAATCTGCATACACAAATAGGTATGAATGAACATATATGACACAGAGTGTGTAAAGAGATACGCACCTTACCGAGAATAACCTGATCCGTACCAAAGCAGCTGTGCCCACGGTAAACACCAGCACCTGGGATATAAATATCCACTCCACTTCCACATCTTTTGACCGGGTTATCCCCTATTTTAGCCGCAACATCGTTGCGCTCTGTCACGTCCCTCTCATTCACTTCGCGGAGGTCGTGGCCAGTGAAAGTTATGCCATCAGCTACGACATAGGCAACTTCGGGGCAGCTAAGAATGTGAGCAAGGGATGCTCCAGTCAAGTGTGCGGAGTAGCCATTCGGGACTAGGAAAGTTATTATATCTTCGGGGGGAAATCCTCTAATATCAACTTACTTTCATACCGGTGAGTGAGTAAAAATTCTGACCCAGGGCTCCGGGTTGATATCCGAGTAATACCTTCAATATGGTCTTCCATATTTGTACCGGATTTCAGCACGCTAAGTAATGAGTCGGCCAGTATCATGCTATGCCTGTGTATGGGACATACACGATGTACGAGTCAGGTCTTACTGGACCCTTTGGCATCCTGATACGAACAGAGGCAGCGAGGGCCGTTGCTGTAGTGGATGCGAATATAACGACGAGAATAGTTACGGTTGAGAACTTCATTGCTGTAGCTACTGGATGGGTGGTGAAGAACAGGGGGCTAGGGAGAACCGACGGCAAGCTGAGAGGATGTCTAATAATATATCAGCCATGGCTCCTAGCGGATCGGATCGGGATCGGGATCAGACTCCGCGGATATTTAGAGATTTGAAACAAAATCCGTTAGAAATCCGCGGATATGCGGACCAACCGCGGATTGTAGATGAAATGTTCCGAAATGTCATTTCGTCAGAATGTCCTTGATGAGAGGTTTCTAACAATACCAAATTTATCCATATTGATGGAGAGCTGATGGAAATATGGGGAAAACTTGGAGGTCAAATGCCTAATTTGGAAATAACGGGCCTGGTGGTCAAATAAGACTTGAAAAATAGGTATAGAAACATAGGAGGGGTATCTAGGACAGTAGGCGACAATAAGTCCGCGGATAATCCGCCCATCTGCGGATCAGAAACCGCGGATATTATCCACTGAAAATCCAAAACCGGATCCGTGAATTTTCGGATGCGGTTGCGGATATCCGCAGATCATCCGATCCTCTAGGAGCCCTAATATCAGCACATTACACAACCCAATTTTCGCCTTGGGCTGCACAATACACATCCTGATTGGAGGTAGATCCATTTCATGCAGTGAGACTTGACAACCTATTGATGGAAAGGAGGAGTGTGAGTATGGCTCCTATCAAATTGCCCTGCAATCTGGCGGATTTGGGGATGAAGGTTGAAGGTTGAGGGAAAAATTGGCAGATCGCAATCTGAGGAAATCCACCAGGCTCGTACCCAGTTGGAGGAGCCTGTGGACATGCATGAGAACATCATGAAAACCGGTATGGCTCTAGAGCACTCAGGCGCATACTAGAGATTGGTTCCATAGTATTCAAGAGCTCCCACAGCTCCTGAGTGTGTCTCATACTGTCAAAGACCAGATTTGAGATGAACAAGAATGACTCAGTGTTTGGAGGGCTGCAGCCTCAGTGACTTAGCCAGGAGCACTGTGCCCAGTAACATGTTGGTGCCCTGATTTACAGACTGGGAGGCTTCTGGAAAGGGGGATTAACTTCAGTTGATTATTGACTGAGGTGTCTGGTATCTACAACTAGCATATATATAGATACAATGTGTCATATCCATCCACAGCCACCACCTTCCGTCACCTCCAGCCATCCTGGATTGCCTCTGCTTGTCAGGGATGCATCCAGGGTTGAGGGGGCCTGGGTGTAATGCCTGGCACTGAGGCCTTTGTGGGGTGTGGAGCAGGCATGTGTACTGACAGGCCCGATGCAGGATGGTGGTCCCTGGCCACTCAGACTGAAGTGGGAATAGTGAGCTGTTATTAAAAGGGGAACCTATGCTACTTACCTGAATGTCAGGGACATGTCAGGGGTGGAGGGGGTCCAGATGTATCGCCTGGCAGAGGGGCCCTCGTGTGGTGTAAACCAGGCATGCATACTGGCAGGTCCGGGAAGGGACAGCAGTCCCTGGCCACTCAGACTGAAGTGGAGAATGTGAGAAGAAGGTTACTTCTTCGGTTCTGTCATATCCATCCCTGGCCATCGACTTCTGATCCTCCCGATCCCTCCAGTATACCTCCACTCCTTCTTCACTAACCTCGGAGCTCCCGTATTCTGCAATCACCTTGGTACCCCTCGATGGTCACCACCCCCTCCTTTCGATTTATTACCTACACCTCCCTAAGTACGGAGCCCTGAAGACTTCTGGACAGCTCCAACGTCCGCTAGCGCACTCCCGCCTCTGCTGAGCAATACACTCACCTGCCCTGCAGAGCCCACCTTCGGGCCTATCCCTCCTTTCCATTTCTGGGTTATTGCCTGCCTTTCCATTAACCCTGTAACCTGACTCGTTGGTAACATTCAGTCGGCTAATGATTAACCCTGTTAGCTCCGCTCCGCTCAGCTCCGCCATTTCGGACCCATCTTCGCTGTAACTATAGATACCCAACTTGTACATAGGTTACACTTCAGTAATAAAATCGACTAGAGTTTACCCCCTTCAGTTCTGATTGCCAGTTAGTAAGTTAGGGCATGGACATGTTACTTGGCACAGTGCTCCTGGCATAAGTCACTGAGGCTGAAGCCCTCCGCCATGGAGACTTTCCTTCGTCTCAACCTGGTCTCTGACAGGTTCCCACTTCAGGTACATTTATGTACATGTGGCTTGAGTCACATGATGGGTGCCACGTCATCCTCAGAGACAGCTGCAGCCATCCAGGTGTCCCTGTGGGGGATCCCAAGAGTGTCTGTTGTATGCACATGTGCTGGGCACAGTGGGAAGCCATCCAGGGTGTCTGGGCTGGACGGGTCAATAGTACATGATACAAAGGAAAGTGGTCCATTGTCAGAGTCTGAAATACATACTGTCAGAGACTGGGAATATTGTCAGAGACGGAATACTGTCAGAAGGCAGATAGAAGACAGAATGGGTTTCTGTCTGAGTCGGGGTTGGAAATTGTGGCAGAGGTTTGTTGGAGCATGTGCATGGATATGTGGGCAGAAATATGTGGCACGTCTGGAAGCGTTGTTCAAGGTTAGCAGAGTGGGATTGTGGCCTCAGCGACTCAGGTGGAGCGCTGTGCCCTGAGCTTGATGTTTGGGGGAGATCCCATATTTATGGATTGACACTCACAGCGGACTTCAAACAAGACTTGCAGGCGGAGTGGACCTGTAGGAGGAGTGCGGACTCCATGAGCATGGACTCAGAGGGGGGAAGCCCCCTTTGCAGAAGGAGAGACTCAGACCAGACAGGGGGGGTACTCTAGTTGATTTCAGACTGAGGTCCCTGAAAGTATTTACAAGGGTAAGAGAAATCAAAAGAGGGACCGGTCGGTCCGGTGCAGAAATAAGCGGAAATGAGTGGGGACTTGTCAAACTAACCCAAGGACAAGAACCTGGGAAATGGGAGGCAAGGAATGAATAAAGTCAAAGTGGATCAAGTACCAATATTGACAGATTAAATGAATGAATAGGAAAGTGCAATAGCACATGGATCAAATGCCAATATTGGGGTGAACATAATAGGCACTCAGCAAGGAATGAATGCTATGTTGCTGAGTGACAAAAATGGCCAGAGGACAAAAGTGGAGGTCAGCGCATGGCACTGATACAAGTCCGCAAATAAGCGGGGTTGGTGCTGTGCCGACACAAGTCCGCGAACAGAGGTTGATCTGTCAGCACTGTCACACAAGGACAGCATTTGAAGGCCAACAGAGGTACAGAGGGGAGTGCGAGTGTTGACCTGACCAGAGGTGTCAAGGGCAACCAGAAGTGGCCAGAGGGTGCAGAGATGGGCAGAGGGCATGGAGTGGGCAGAGGGTGTGGAATGCATGGAAGTGGGGCATGGCTGTGACCACATAGTGGGAAGCAATGAGTGTGGTTCAGATGGAGACAAGGCTGAATGCCAGGAGCGCCAAGGGCTCGGGAACTGGAGGTAAGGTCGGAATGCTGGCAGGGTCTAGGTTCTGATTGTTGGCCAAGTCTCATGCAATAAGGCAGGGGGCCAGACATCGGGTTGGGGGCTGGTTAGGATGGGTTTCAGGTCGGCGGTTTCGCCTATTGGCATTGGTTCGCTGCTGACGGAGCCCCAGGATTTGTCGGTCATGACATCCATGTAGATAGAAGGAATAAACAGGAAGAGAATGATTGTCAGGGCTCGGTCCTCGATCAGGGACAGCCCGACCTCAGTCCTAGGTGTGTGCGGTGTTCCAGGTGGTTGGGCGCTAGACCCTGTCCTCAGCTCCTCAAACTCACTGAAGGGACTAAGCGGGGATTGAGTTGAGAAAAAGGGTAAGTTTCCCTATTCCCCGCTTGGCTACTATAAAAAGGAAGTGTACTGTACAGTTCATAACGTGACTCCGGGTAGAAGCCGAGCATGTTCCCGTGACTTGGAAAAGGTGTCACATGGGTTAAGGCGAGTTGCTCGCCTTAACCCACGTGATTTTTCCCGCGGGCTCACATGCGGGCTGAAGTTGTGAGAGGTATGTAGGGATGGGGAGGTCTGGGAAGGTGGTTCTGGGGTGTGGTTGGGTGCCCTGACAGCGGGGTCAGGGGCCGATCCCTGACAATGATGAGAAGAATGAAATAAAGAAAGGAGAAGAAAGAGAGAGAAGAAAGAGGGAAAGAGGGAGGAGGGAGGAAGGAGAGGGATGGACAGTGGGGCAGCAGGTGAGGTGTGGCTGGGTGGGTCCAGGTAGACCTGGGTCAGGCAGGTGTGCCCTGACACTGAAGTGGGAATAGTGAGAAGAAGGTTACTTCTTTGGTTCCCACCCCAGGTACTTTTATGTACATGCAGCTTGGGTCACATGAGGTTTGCCACGCCACCCTGCATACAGCTGCAGTCACCCAGGTGTCCCTGTGGGGGATCCCGAGGGTGTGTCATGCATGCATCATGGGCAGGTTAATAATACACAGATATGGAGAAAGGCCATCCATGTGATAAAGATAGAAGAAAGTGTCAGAGACCAGGTCGAGACGAAGGAGTGTCTCCATGGCAGAGCTCAGCAACTTATGCCAGGAGTGCTGTGCCAAGTAACACATCTGTGCCCTAACTTACTAACTGGCAACCAAAACTGAAGGGGGGTAAACTCTAGTCGATTTTATTACTGAGGTGTAACCTATGTACAAGTTGAGTATATATAGTTACAACGAGGGTGGGCCTGCAAATGGCGGAGCCAAGCAGAGCAGAGCTAATGGGGTTAAACATTAGCCGATTGAATATTACCGACAAGTCAGGTTATGGGGTTAACGGAATGGTAGGTGATAACTCAGAAATGGAAAGGAGCCATAGGCCTGAAGGTGGACTTGCAGGGCAAGCGAGTGTATTGCCCAGCGAAGGCGGGAGTGCACTAGTGGACGTTGGAGGTGTCCAGAAGCCTTTGGGGCTCCATACTTAGGGAGGCGTAGGTAATGAATTGAAAGGAGGGGGTGGTGACCATCAAGGGATACCAAGGTGATTGCGGAATATGGGAGCTCTGAGGTTAGTGCAGAA